TTTATATCCAAGACCCCCCCCCCCCTTGCACATCAGATTCCTTCCTCTCACACTAAGAGCCCCCACTTTTAATATCAGAGCCCCAACATTCACATTAGACACCACCTTTCACATCGGAGCCCCCCTTTCACATGAGTTCCCGTAGGGTTGCCACCTGTCCAGGATTCACCCGGACAGTCTGGGTTTTGAATGCTGTGTACGGGTTTCATGGCAGCAGAAACCCGGACACAAGATGTCAGGCAGACAGGGGCAACCAAAAATAAGATAGGGGCTATTGGCCCCCCACTGACAATAGTCTTGACTGTGATATTTACATATGAATGGGTGGTGCTATTTACATATGAATAAGCCGCCACTCATTCTCCCAAAAAAATGTCCACGCGTCGCTAGAGTGTTCGGGTTTCACTTGAAGAAAAGGTGCCAACCCTAGTTCCCCGTCACATCAGAGTTACTCCTTTCACATAAGAGTCTCCCCCTTTCACGCCAGATTCCCTCCTCTCACACTAAGAGCCCCTTCTTTTCACATCAGAAGCCCCCCTTCAAATCAGAGTCCCCCACCTTCACATCAGATGACCCCTTTCACATCAGAGGCTCCCCCTTGACATCATATTCCCCTCCCCCCTTTTAGCGGAAATTTGAAGGCACCCATGACACAGCCAGAAGGCACCCAAGGGTGGCACAGCACTCAGGTTGAGAAAGGCTGTATAGAAGACTTAAAAGCTGTAACAATGCTATTTGAATAAATATGTCAGGATCGTGCACAGGAGTATTGACCACACTTTGGATGTGACCTTGCAAGGTTAATCAAATACAGCTAAAGATGACTATCCATGTTAGGATTTCCTTTTATCTATTACAGTTCTGTTAAAGCATTGATATTCAAACAGCTGCACCGTAGGTTTGTGGCCAGGAAACATGTGGAATATTCTAAATCCTGTGCCAGTTTATACTCTGCTACACCCATGAAGTGTCTAAACAGTACAAATATCCGGCAGAAATAAGCTATAGGTGCAGCTGTTTGGGTTGGGTAACGGTGCTGTGGATTTGAACAGAGTCACGGGTTTGACGGATGAATAAAATAGATCTAAAGCCAAGAACAAAACACCCAGGCCTTGCAGCTCCCAGTCCTTAGATGAGTGACTGTCTTTGTTTTCTCTTTTTGTACAGCCTTACTACATGTTCTGCAATTACAACAACATCCTGTTGATCCTACCACAGATCCAGGGTGCTTGAAAATTGCTGTGTACTCAAGTGAAATCTCAAACAATGTTACAAAACACATCCTCCCTATGTAATGGGGGTTAGGAGAGTGAGAAATGTTTGTAGTTCACATTAGGATAGCAACCTAGGGTGACAACGCTGCTCCTTAATAAAAGGAAGTGTGTTATTAGCAGAATCACAAGGGGAACATAAAGAGAAGAAAGCCTGAAAAAGGAAAACGATTGCAGCCACCACATACGAGGACTGGTAAGCTACAATATATTACATTTTTGGGGGGTTTAGATAAGCTTCAAATTTTCTTTATTAAATAAGATAATTATTACACATCTGTTAGTAAATGGCTGGTGTAGTGTTGGGGAGAAATGTGACCCCCCAATGCTTAACTTTGTAATAGCCGTGGAAGTTCGGTGACCCAAAAAACAAGCTATACAACCAATGCTAAAAACCCAGCTATGGTCAGTGCTGCTTTGGCCATTAGGCTACGATAGTCTGACTCTGATAGTGCTGATAAGCATGTGATGTATCATTGTAAAGATGGCTCTGGTCATGCTCTTTTCTGTTTTAGAGGCCTGATTGCATATGTTCTCCCAGGGGGTATTACTTGAAGTCTGCTCCACTTTTACATTTAAAGCTCCAGTACTGTCACACATCCAAAAGCAATGTTTTTAGATACAGGTGGAGTCTTGCGGATTTGTTGGCTCCTGAGATCTTAAAGGGCTTGGGGAGTTCAACAGTGAGCTCTCCCTGCCAAAATTCCAGACTCTCCGACATAATGGACACAGCAGCTGGATTGCAGACCCAAGAACTTAGTGTAGAGATCACACCAATAGAGTCTCTGAGATACAGAAGAAACGTCAGTATCTACCAAAAACTGGAATACCCGTTTTGGGTAGAATATCCCTTTAATATCATGTCATCTGTTATTTTTTTTTTGTAAGACATCTTAAGGTGCCCATACACCTTACGGCCATCGCAAGACTTTTGTCTTGCGATGGTCGTAAGCTTATTAAAAGCTGGTACGATCTGCCCATCTTGGACAGGCAGATCGTACTTGCGGTCATCGAAAGCCTGCCCCGCTGAGGGGCGGGCTTCCGATGACCGCAATGATGGGCGGGCTTCCGATCACTGCAAACGGGCAGTGTGCGTGTGCGCACACCGGCCCGTTCGACAGTTGTCGAAACAAGCAGGCCACTAACCCGCCGAGAATTGTACGATTCACAGGGAGTTTTCAAGCTTGCTTGTTCGACGGAAGACGTGTGACCGCACAGTAGAAACGGTTGCACGCCTTCCGTACACTGTGCGATTATCGTACGATCGCGGGACAAGAATCTCGTACAAGAATCGTACAGTGTATGGGCACCTTTACACCTTCCATTATCTGAAAGGATCAGGCCATCCAAAAGCAATGTTTTAGAGACAGCTGGAGTCTTGTGGATTTTGTTGGCTCCTGAGATCTTATACGGCTTGGAAAGTTCAACAGTGAGCTCTCCCTGCCATAATCCCTGGCTCTCTGGGAACCCCTCATAATGGACACAGCAATTGGGGTGCAGACCCAAGAACGTAGTGTAGAAATCTCACCAACAGAGTCCCTGAGAGACAGGAGATACTTCAGCTTATGCCAAAAACTGAAATTTGGGGTAGAATGCCCCCTTAATATCACATCATCTGTCACTTTTTTCTCTACGACAAATCTGGAATTTGTAACTGATGAAACTTTTAGGAGTAGCAGAATTATCTCAATAACGTTCTCGTTCTGTAGAAATGCAAAGGTCACCACTGACACTTGATGAGCTTCACAGTGAAACCTTTTCATGTTCTCAAAGGTCAGACAGCAGAAGAGATCAATTTGAGGCCAGCTGAGAAGAAAAAGGCTCATACACAGTACACATGAAACCCACCCTGAAGACTCAATTTTAATCTGTTATCACAAAGCAGGAATGTTGCACTAAAATACATCTCTGTATCACTTGAATGATTCTTAGAAGTGCAGTGATCTTATAAGTGTATGTAAACCCAATATCTATCCTTTTAGTATGTTTGGCATTTTGCCTCACTGCATACAGTGTTAATAAACAAATCATTTATTGTGATTCTGCTTCAAAGTTTCTTATCTGGAGATCCTGCCAGTAACAGCACTTCATGTTAAAGGCTGACAATGCTAAGCCCATGGCTCACAATTAGCAGCAATGCTGTCAGCCTTTGGGCCTACTCCATCAGTTGGCCAT